GCAAACGGCCACGTGCGCGCCCCCGGCAGCGCAACACCGCACGGTGCAAGCTCTACTCAACTATGGATCCCCCTCGGTGTGGCCCGACGCCTTCCCCAAGGTAAGAGGACCCCCGGGAAGTTTGGCCAGGCAGACACTGGACCTGCCAGGGCTTGCATGGTGTGTGCCCAAAGTGTCGTGGGAGGGTCTGCATTTCTCTCAAACTCCCAGGGGGAGGTAGAGGCTGTGAGTCTTGGGACCCCACTTTGAGGAGCGAGGACATAGAAGTCTCTTCATAGTTAGCAAAAAGAAAAATGAAGAGGCCGCACTGTTGCTAAATATTCTAGAATGTCACCTTTCGAAGTAGTCTCCTGGGGACGCCTAGCACTTACTGCCGTGATGCCATCACAACGCCAGCGCCGAGTGTTTCAAGCAGCTCGTCTTTTGGTGTAATTTTCAGAAAGATGAAAATGAGTCTCTTGTCACAGCTGGCGTTTGATCTGCAGCGAAGTCACCCAACCTGCTCAGCGCCTTGTTAATGAGAGCACTTTACACCTTTACAAATTCCTCTCCCCTGCTGTGAAATTCGCCTAATGTGCCCTGTTCCAGTCACCCTGTGTTGAGACCTCCACCCTTTGCCCTGGCTGTGCCTTTGCAAAGTTTGTTCAGCTCACCTTGTCACTTTCTCCGTCTGTCAGGTCGTTATTCATGTAAAAGGCTCATGAGGGGAAAAAGACAAACAATGCTACCACAATAAAATCCCCAGGCAAATGTGAACAACGGACAATCATATATATGAAAATACCATAAAGAAATCACACATCAAAAAAAAAAAAAAAAAGTTAAATGGACGTCCAGGGCCTGTGGGGATGGCTCCTTCAGTGAAACAATTGCAGCAAGCAAGAGGAGCCAAGTGTGGATTCCTAGCATTCATGTAAAGCTCAGCTTTGGCGGCTCATGCCTTCCATCCCAGCCTTCAGTCTCCGAGGAGGCAGAGGCAGACCCACTGTATAAGTCAGGGTTCACAAAAGCAGTGATTCTCAGCCTTCCTAACGCTGCGACCCTTTAATACAGTTCCTCATGCTGTGGGGACCCCCAACCATAACATTATTTCCTTGTTACTTCATAACTGAGTTTTGCTACTATTGTGAATCATAGTGTAGATATGTAATACGCAGGATATCTGATGTGTGACCCCTCTGAAAGGGTTGTTCGACCCCCAAAGGTCACGACCCACATGTTGAGAACCGCTGCTCTAAAGGAACAGAACTGATAAAGGAATGTGTGTGTGTGTGTGTGTGTGTGTGTGTCTGTCTGTCTGTCTGTCTGTCTGTATACATGTGTGGGTGGGTGTGGGTGGGTGTGGGTGGGTGGAGGATCTATTAGAGTGGTCCAGTAATGGCTGTCTCCAGACAAAAAGACTGAGAACCTGGTAGCTGTTCAGGCCACGTGATTGTATGTCATATATGTTATGATCTGTGCTTGAGTCCTGGAGGAGTCCTGGAGAGCTGTGAGTCTTCATGTCTACACTGGAATCCTGAAGAAGTTGGATTTAATGCCAGCCTCAGCAGCAGGGTAGATGAGCTTGTCGGCAGGAGTGAGGGCAAGCGTACAAAAACCAAGATTCTCTTCCTCAGTGTCCTTGTATGTGTTCTGGTGTGGTCCAGATTTAGGGCGAATATTATTTACTCCAAATAATCTGATTAAGAAAATTCCTCATGGGGCTGGAGAGATGGCTCAGTGGTTAAGAGCTGGTCTCCCAGAAGACCCGGGTTCAATCCCCAGCACCCTCATGGCAACTCACAACTGTCTGTAACTCTAAAATACCAATGCACATAAAAAAAAAAAACAAATACATTTTTAAAAAGAGAAAGAAAATTCCTCACAGGATCACCCAGAATCTTGTGTTTTAGTTGATTCTACATGTAGTCAAGTTGAGAACCAACATTAGCCAACACATTCACACCCTGGTTCCTGTAAGAAGGAAGGAAGGAAGGAAGGAAGGAAGGAAGGAAGAAAGAAAGAAAGAAAAAGCCTGTCTCAAAAAACAAATAGATAGCTCCTGAGAAATGATACCCAAGGCTGACCTCCAGCTTCCACATGCGCACATACACACACCCTGACCTACACATGTAGATAGATAGATAGATAGATAGATAGATAGATAGATAGATAGATAGATTGATTGATTGATTGATTTTGAGGACTTGCTAGCCTGGTGTATATACCAAAGTGACAAACCAAAGGGACCGCCTCAAACAAGGTGAAAGATGAGGATACTTACCCAAACAAGTCCTCTGACTTCCACATGCATGTGGTGTTCATACATGCATACACACAAACACAGGGACACACACACAAGATAACATCCCCAAAGTATTAACTAGAAGAGATTGTCTTTTCCAAAAGTCTTCACTAAAGGAAGTCGAGTTGGTCATAAAATATTGGTTCATTTCATCTTAAAAATCGCCCCCATCTCTCAAGATACACCAATCCTATCCAGCTACCTATGCACCTGTGAACACGTAGGTGTGCCTGGTGCGTTTTGAACCAGCATCCGGGGAGCTGTTACCCAAAGATGATCCAAAGGAACAGTTTTCAGTGTTCTGAGGCAGTGAGATTCACACATTTCTCTCAAATGACTTCGCCTGTGGGCACATTCAGCGTGAAGCATGCATCTCTAGGGCCAGAAAAAGGGTAGGAACTCTACTGTGTGCCTCGCCTACTGTCCCCTCACCTATAGACTCTTATCACTGTCGCCCAAGTCACCCCCCCCCGGGGTGCCCTGCCAGAACAGGGATTTAGATGTGGCAGGCTCTAAAAAAGAAAGTGCTAGCATTCTTGCGTTCTGGAACATCTTTAGATCCATAGCTTACACCCTAAACACTCCCCATTCCCTGTTCAGCTACTTAGGTCCTGGACACAAGACTTGCGCTGCCCCGTAGTTCACATCCTGTCTACGCTAAGCCCAGATGCTCGGTCGTCGTCACAGGGAACCATACAAAGAATAGAAAAACAGAGTGGATCTCACAGAGAGGCTGAAAATGACTGACGGCGGTTTCCACTAAAGGCGGAGTGAGACGGAGCCGTGGAGAAAGGTGCTTGATGCCAGGCCTGATGTCCTGAGTTCAGTGCCCAGGACTCACATTGTAAAAGAGAACTGACTTTTGCAAGCCGTCCTCTGACCTCCACCACATACGTGCCTTGACAAGCCATTTCAGTTTGAGGGAGCCCCCCCCTTCAGGTGTTGAGGTGTGAGCTGCAGCACCTCCCCCATCCTGATCCCTGGGGATAGGGCTTCTAGGGGAAGCAAGCACCCCACCTTGACCTGCAGCGGCGGTGCATGGTATTGTGCTCCCCTCCAGGTCTTCAGGGCCTCTGTTCTGGGACGTGCCCAGATGCCATGCCAGCCAGATGGGGTGTGGCCGTATGTCCATCTCATCATACCTCAGGATTGGCGGTGAGCTTACATGTATCAGGCAGTATGCCGCAGGAAGGTCATGGGAAGCACTTCACCCTGGCAGTCACGGGGATTCTCTGGTCAGTATCACACCAGTATGTAAGGGACTGAACAGTCCTTGAGAAATCTTTATAGTAGACAACATTACCTGCCCTGCATTTGGCAAGTGCAGATACATGCAGTCAAGGTTTGCTGCATGCGCGCAAGGGACACCAGCAACTGTCTCCAGGACACAGGTCTGCATCCAGCCTGTGGACGTGAGGTGCTGACCTCTTTGCACAGACACCTTTGTATTTCTAGGAGTGACCCCACTTTCCTGAACAGCCTGCAGATGAGATGCACTTAGCCCACCAAATCCAAGCTAGATGTGCCTGTGATGGGCCAGCTGTGCCCAGGGATAAGCAGACAAAACCGTGGAGTCGGAGAGGCAACATACTTCCCCACCCAGACCCCTGTCGGTTTCACCTGAGCAGGCATCTACTCACCTAACTGGCTTCAGCAGCCCCAGGGGGTGCACAGCGAGCTTATGCAAACTGGTTGCAAAGGTACTCCACGGGCAAGACACAGGCACCATGGCAGGCAGCCGCCAAGCCACCTGCTACAGAGCAGGCAGCCCCCGTGAGCAACTAGATGTAAAGAGACACCCGTGGAGTTCAGAATTACTGAGGCAAAAGGTTTCCCAGAGAGCTCGTGACATAAATCACAGTTCCCAGTGCCCAGACAAAGGCACCATCATGGCATCAGGCAGACAAGGAGCAGCCCTCTGAGCCTTGCTCACCGTGCTACTGGGAAAGCCAGGGGGTGCCAGGCTCTGCCAGTCTACAATGCCAGGCCTTTCTGCCCTCCTGCCCTCTAGTTCACACCAGAGACAGAGGGGCAGGCCCAGAGCAGGTGTAGGTAGACGCTGGTAGCCAGGGTTCAGTCCTAGAAGTTGTAAAGACGGAGGAAGGCCAAACTCCAGGACAAGGGACTTGCAGCAGAGCAAGGAACCCCAGGAATGTGGACCCAGTGGTTATCTGGGAGAGAGGCTTTCCTGAATCTCTCCTCAAATTCATGACTCTGAGATGAAGCCCGTTTTTCTTTGTCCGCATCTTTCAAGAGCACATTTCTGGTTCACACCAAAAGAGAATGCTGGGGCCACCAAGAGACTAGAAGCACCTTAAGCCCAAACCGCCTCTAGGAAGGCCGTGCCCTGCCCTTCGGAGCCAACATCCTTTATTGCAAACTCCTTCCCTCTCTTCCTTTTTCTTTGTGTGCACTTGGAACCACTTGAAGTGGTGTGGAACGGAGTGGTCAGCTGTATTTGCCCCCTGATGTCACTGACCCTCTCCAGAGCCCTTTGCATTCAGTCCCTTCCTGCTGTGCTCTTTCTCTGAGACAGCCCTGTTTCAGTGGAGCCAAGATGTGCTACCCAAGGAGGGAGCCAGCCATATGCAAGGGTTATGAGTGATGGAGCTGCAGGTCTACCAGTGAGACCTAGAAGTGTAAGGACCAGGCCGGCCATGAGATCCCTTAACTGCTTCATTGGCTGTGCTGTCTGCCCACTGCGCCCCTGTGTGCTCACCCGTGCTTTCATTTAACAACCACGCAGAGGGACTGTAGAGACAGCTTGGAGGTTAAAAGCACACACACTTCTCTTGTAGAGGACGTGAATTTAGTTG